GCGTCTGGCCCGCGCGCGGGAGCCCGCCGAGGTAGCGGCGGCCGCGGGCTCCGCGTGTGGAGAACGGGCGAGCGTGCGCGGGGAGCGGGTGCTCGCCTCGCCTCGCCTCGCCTCGCCTCGCCTTGCCGCGGTGCTGCTGCCCCTTAGTTCTGGGTGATGGGAGCTGCTCAGGGTTTTAATTTTTTTTTTTTTTTTTTCCTGAGTTGAGCTGGTTTGTTGCCAGCACATGCTTTAATGGAGCGCTGGTTCCTCCTCCTGGCCTCGACAGGCCCTCACCAAGGTGCTCCGTGAAGCCACCTCAGAAACTAGGCTGTGGTCGCAGGTCTTGGCTTTGTTTGCCCTTTGGTTGTGACCTGGAGGGGGTCAGGGGTGTTAGGTAGCTGGTCGCTTCTCAAGATTTTCCACATGGATAAATGCTGAAAACTTTTAAATAGGCAACAAATCCTGCGCAGTATCATGAGGCAATGSAAAGGGCTGATAAAAGTAGAATATTCCTGCATCTGAACCGCGCTCTGCGCAGCAGGCACTGCTGGTTGTGGGAGAGGTCTCGTCACCCTCACTGCAAATACAAGTAGYAGCTGCTGAGGTGCTAATCTCTAAGTCCTTAAAAGCTTTCTGTCGTGACATAGGTGTTCTTGTTTGCTTTTGATGCACAGCAGAAAGTGGGACCTAGCAGCTCTTGCGTGTTATCCTGAGGTGCTACAACTTGATACGACTTTGTGAAGGTGTTCAGAGGCAGAGTTTGGTTTAATATTCACAGTAATTAGTACTTAATAAACTTGAAAAGCTTACTTATTGCACTCATATAATGATGTTCTTCTAAGTAGATGTACATACACTTAGTTTTCTATGCCAATAACGCTTTTTTTCTTGAAGGTCAACATTGTAGCCTATAGTTGTGCTAAATGCAAATATTTCTCAACCGGTGCTTTTTCAGATGGCTGAGTTTGCAGTTCAGCTAAACTAAAAGCTGCTTTTGTAGTACGGAAATGACTGGACTTTAGTGCTTGGAATTGACGTGAATGCTCTTCTGAACCAAAATAATAATAAAAAAGTCCTGAAAAGGAATAGAGGGAAACAGTTCTAGTGGTAACTGTAAGTGAACTCAAAACAGCAAATTTTAAACACATCCTATTGAGAAGTGAAAATGCAAGTTCTGTGTCGGAGATCTGGCCCTGGAAGGGGTGCTGCACAGATTGGGACTATTGGTGGTGCTGCAGCACTGCTGTTCTCCCTGGGCAGGCTGAGTCTAGCAAAAGAGAAATAGCTACAGAAAACAAGGGAAAGGGAGAAACTGGTAGTTGTAAATTGGCAGATGAGAAATGCACTGTTAATAAAAGGTAAATCTAGTAATAAAAGCACTCTGTGGTGCTTGCATTTGAAGACCATAAGAAACATTTTAAACACTTGTGTTACAGTTATATATTACAGGCCTGTATGTTGGTAAGTGTTGATGTTGTATATTTTTGCTCCCTACTTAGAATAATTTTTGTCTAATCCTGTTACTTTATTCATAATTACTAAATACTTYCTGACAGTAACTAGGGAGGATGCAAGGTATCAGTTGTTCATGTTGAAGGGGTCTTATTACATAATAAGAATCTTATGGTTTGGTAGCTGCTGCATGGAATTTTCAGAGAATTGACCAAAGAATAAACATAATCAATGAATTATTTAATGAATTTCAGGATATTTGTGGSCTTGCAGAACTGGAAGAATGCCGTAGCGACAGCGTTTGTTCAGGCAAATGAAGCGATCCATGTCACCGCTGTTGAAGCGATGCGTTGTGCAGCTGCACAATTGTGCAGATGAGATAACTGGTGTAGAATGGTATCGTGGCCCTCGCTACTCGGTGAGACTCCGTGTAGCTATTCTTGCCAAATTCATCTTATTTTGCATTCAGCTGTCAGCAACTGTCATAAGCAGACTTAAGTCATACATCTATATGATGCTGATTACAGCAGCAGTGTATGGGCCTGATGCAATATACAGAATGGGCTTAAAATACACTCACCAAAAATATTTGAGAATCCCTGAAGAATGTTTCCAGAAGGAGATCATGTATCTGTTCCTGATATGATGATGTTACTGAAGTCTTTCTTCATTTAGAAGAAAGCAAATGTTGTAGGAACTGTTGCAAATACCACGGTTATTTGTGTCAAATGAAGAGGACTCTTCTAGAAAACAACCTTGATCATGTGGTACTCATTGCAACAACATGCATTTTAACACGGCTCAGTGGAAAGTCACAGCTAGGAGCYGTGAATATAGGTCACTCAGGACTGGAGACTGTATTTTGGAAAGCATTGACTCAGAAAATGATTTGGAGCCCTGATGTGTTACCATTTAAGCATGAAATTGCAGTGCAATGTAGTGGCTCATGGAATAAATGCTGGCTTTGGGTAGCTTAGCAGGGCGATGTTATTACTACTATGTGGTATTAGAGGGACAATTACAGGAATATTATGCCTTGTTCAGAGGACTGTTTTTTAAAGCAAACAATGTTGACAGGCTAGAAATTTTTTTTTCTTTTTTTTTTCTTTTTTTCTTCTCTCCTCTGACAGCTACAGAGTGATTATGGTTCTGACCAGCATAACTTACTGAAGCCAAAGAACTTGCTTGGTCGGTTTGACCTTACTGGTCAAGAGGTAAAGGACATGATCAGCCCTGTGCTCCATAAGATGTTTGAAAGGAGAAGACTTCTTTGTTTGGTAGAAAGAAATAATGAGATTCATTAGCTGAAAATAAATCAAAAGGATTTTTTTTTAGGGAAACCAGAAGATGATTTTTCTGCTAGGAGCTTGTACGAGACTCAAGGAGAGGCAGCAGTAACAGTAGAGCAGTGAACCCAAACCTGGGGCCCTGGYGTCTGTTGATCCGTGACTCTGAGTCTGCACTTGGCAAATCTCTCTGCTTAAAGGCTTCTTGTGCCCCATCATTGCTCTTGTGCTCTGTTCTCCAATGTGCTCCYGAGTCCTCTGTGGTGCCAGAGCAGCACCTGCACCCAGCTTGACCGTGCGACTCCATGTCTGCCACCTCTTTACCTTGTGTGGAGAYCTTGAGGTGTCTTGACTTGAATGCAGTTTATGGGCAAAATAACAGTTCTAAAGATTTTGAATCCTCTTCTAGAAAGAAGAAATTTATTTAGGAATTGCACAGAAAAGCTCAGGATTCAGAGGTAGCTTAAGGCCTTCAGGGTTTGGTAGTCCTTTCCATTTACTCTGTGTTTCCAATAGAGTGTAGTTGATAGCACTGTGTAAGATGAAATAGTCTCACAACCAGAAAGGCAGTGGAGGTTTGTGTGTATGTGGAAAGACTTGAGGAAAAATTATTGGCTACAGAAGAACAGAGTGGACTGCAACTTCCATGCTAAAAGAAAGCTTGAGCGAGGCCCCTTAGCCATCAATCTCCRTGCTCTTTTTAAAAACCTGCTGATAGACTTTGTATAAATTACTTTTTTTTGCCTCAGTTCATTCAATAGACGATGCATCATATGAATATCCTGAAGGAAAAATCTTTAGAAGCTCAGGTTTCACAAGGAGCTTTGTTTCAGTGAAAAGCTTTACTGTGTCCTGTATTTCACAGTACACCTCTTTGCCTTTACCAGATTCTGGTAGGTATTGGAGCTTGGTGTTTGACCTTAAAAATAAATCTTTTCCAGTCCTTGACAGAGAAATCAAACTTAGGTTGGAAATTTCTGAATTATTATTCAAGTTTGCCACAAATTAACTTGAACCGAGTTTCCTAATTGTATCTGTGAGTGTGGTTTCTAAATGCCAAGTGCTCTGACAGCAGTAATTCTTGCTGACGGGCTGGATACTGGCGTTTACGTTTCCCATGGACAGTACCGAGCAGACGGGGCTCAATCCCGTGGCGCTCCCATACGTGCACAGCTACGGAGCACGCTGCGGGCTGTGGTGTTCCCTGCTCTTCRGAGGTCAGGCTTCCTTTTCTTAAAAGGAGTGTCATAGGGCCTAATTAATTTTCAAGCTCACTTCTAATGAAAACCTCTTGCTTGTCTTAATTTGCTGAATGTAATGTATTTCTTAAGTAAAGCAAAGCAAATAGTGTATTCTTTGACTTWACAAATTCAGAAAGCTTTGAATGCTTTGAATTCAGAAAGCATTAAAATGTGTTGACTTGTCATCTGGATACTTTTGTAATTTAGCCTTTTTTGAAGTTRTATGAGTAGTTATTGCCTGGTACCAGAGTCTGCTTTAGAGATTCTTCTGAAATGAACTTAGCTCTGTAAATCARTTTATTAGAGGAAAGGAGGGAAAAAAGGAGAGAGAAAAACAAAAGAGAAAATTCCCAAATCTCCTGTTCTCCTTGTAGCTTGATCAAAACATATCTTTAAATATTATTCCATGTGTAGGGATGTCCCAGAGGGCTCGGGGGTGGCTGCCTGTGGTTTGTACTGCTTGAGTATCCAGTCATCCTCCATGGCAAATTATTCCCTTTTGACTATAAAATAAATATGAATATGGATGTAGCTTTTGCAATTGAATAAAAAATAAAACTGATGCTGATAGCTTAGTTTCTAACACGACTAACATTTTTGGCAAATGTCTTCTTACTTTTCTAAACATGATGGCTTCTTTCTAATGGGAGTTGTATAGGAAAAGGTCTTCAGGTTATGACATGTAGTCTGGGTCTGTGGAGTGGCAGGTACAAGTTAAATATTAAGCCTGTATTGTACTCGGGAGGAAGAGTAGATCTATTGAGATGCAAAATAGGTTTTAACTTGTCTATATATTGTTTTATTGGTCAGACAATACCTTGTTTTCAAACAGGAGATCAGTGGACCTTCACACTGTCTTTGTGCTGTGTCCAGAGCTTTGCTGAGGAAGGTGTTTTCTCTGTCGTAGCAACTTTGTCAGTTTGTAGTTAGCACGCAAGAAAGTGGGGTTTCGGATAAAACATCTGGTCCCGAGTGAATGCCTTACTGTTCTAACTTTTCTCATGTTTTCCCAGGCTGCAAAATACTTCTCCTGTATTTCTTTAGACCGCAGAAATGCTGTTGCAGGGTGAATGATTTACAGGAAGAGCTGCCTGCCAGAAGTGTAGGTGGAATCCCACATCTTGCCCTGACTGCRTATCCCTGAGTGCACTGGGCTCTGCTTTTAATCTGTTATAGGGACTTAGTGAAATTTAGAGCAGTAATGGGGAAAAAATAAATGGCCCCGTAATGCTGTTTGTCAATAGTTCCTTGCTGCTCAGTTATTTTTATACATCTTGCACCTTCTACAGCACTATCTCGAGCCAAATCCAATATAATGAGAGAGTTAATGTGTTACTTAAGTTACAATAGGCGTTATAGCTTAAGAAAAACAAACAGAAAAAAATTTGGGTAATTTTTTTTTACTTCCTGGCAAGCCTCATTCACTTCATTCAGAAGTGGTAATGATCTGAAGAATTAGTGTCCCACAACTTGTTAAAGCCCTAAGAGATGCTTTTTCTTTACACATTAATTCTGTCATGTACATAGGAGCTGAGAGAAGAAATTTGAAAGATGAGGGGGAATTGCTTGCGTGCAGTCGCCTGAGAAATTCCTGTGTTGTATAATGCCACGTTTCCAGAGAAATCTGTACTCTAGTTATAAATAAGACTTCTTTTTTGTAATTACAAAAAGCTTTTCGCTGGAATTTGAGCTGTTGTGTATTAGGAAAAAAACACTATTCTGATGTGTGTCTCTCTCTGTTATTCACTCTTGGAGTGAAAYAAAGTAGCTGCTCTGCCTTGATTTGTTTTTGTTAATGTGCAAACAGTGTTTTAGGACTTTAGCTCCTATTTTTGATTAGTGACTTTTCCGAGGTTGCTTTGTCCCTTCTTGGATGGGAATCCTCATACCTGAGGATGGGAGGGATTGGGAGTCTTGCTGCTTTTAAATGGTGCGTAATGTCACTTTGGGAGCAGTTCTGTGCCCAACAGGGGTTGCTGCTAAGCCAGGTTGGAGCCTTGTACCCAGTCTGTGTTATGGGGTGTGACATCTCTGTAGTCTCTGCTATTATGGARATCTGGGTAATGTAGAACTGGTTTGAATTCCAGCCCTGATTTCCAGCACTACCGTTAAATGCAGGGAAGGAATGCCTACGTTTTTCCCAAATTACTGGATGTTACTCAACCTCTGAGTGTTTGGATTAAACAGATGTGAATGTGGATGAAAAAAAGAAAAAGGGTAAAACTTAGGAATATTTGTTCCAAAAAATATCTAATGTTTCCTTCCAGATTATAAAAGCACTCAAGGGTCTACAGGATTTGGATATAACACTGGACATCCTAATGGTAAGTGGTGAGTGATCAGTTAACTCTTTCTTAGTGTAAAGTCCTAGATTCTGCAGTCCCAGAAGCAGTGAGAACTGCTGCATTTTGCAATTCTGACTCTYAGAAGGGTTCACTTTAGAGAGCTCTCTATAAGGAACCATGGAGCCTTTTCCAAAAGGCAGCTGGAAGCTGGGCACACAGCTTGGCAAATGCAGCAYCTGCAGTGGTAGTGAACAGGGATCCAGACGTGGGGAACACATTGCTCCTCAAGGTTGATTCTTCTGGCATTTGAGTCAATGTGAAAGGCAAAACAAGTACAGATTATCCATTTAGGTCAGTGACTAAGTCTTCTGTCTGTATCAGCAGGTCAAAAATAGTTTTTTATCTAAAGAGCAGGCATCCTGAATTATACACTGACTATATATGACTTGTTGGGTCAAGGTATACCTTGCCCAAGGTGTACGTTATCAAATCTTGTATTAAAAATCCTTGCACTTGTCTGGGAAGCATTTTTGTTGTGGGAAATGTGCGTATCTTAGGATGAAGCAAAATAGCATTTCTGGTTCTTCAGGGAGGAAGAGAAAAATGCGTCAACCAAAGAATTGTGGCCAGCTAACTCTGGCAATGGCATTAATCTGCCTAATCTCAGCTTTATGAGAATCTAGCGATGCTTGCATGCTTTTATTGGAGAATGAGGTAATTTTGTATGGCAATTAGTTGTGTAAATGGCAGATAATTAACGTTCCCAGCAGATTTGCATGTTATGATGTGACAGACTGATGGAAGCTCTCAAGTGAGGTACAGGGAAGACATGCTTAGTAGCTGAGAATTTCACATTATTTTCATTCATTTTTAGGAACATAAATTGACTCTCTTACATGAATAGCTTTAGGAAGCCCTCCCACCAGTGTTCTTGCATCTATTTCAAAGACAGCCAGGTGTTCCTGAAACTACATGGAAGCCAAATCTCCTTTAAGTGAAAATATTTATTCACAGCCCTAAAGAGCTCACAAGAATCTTGCACTGCTTGGCAAGAACATGAATGRGTGGCTGTTGACTTACTGAATTCCTGGAGTTGTAGGTGTCTTGAAGGGGAGAGTTTGAATCAGATACTTACAGGTTAAAGGTTTTTCTTGTGTTTTCTTTTTTTAAACAAAAGAAAAGATTGGCCTGTGATATTTTTGTACCTGTGAAGTTTGTAGGACACAGCTTAGTAGAACAAGGCTTAAAGACATCAGGATAATGTGAAAATAATAGAGCTGAGGAGAGCAGAAGATGAATGTGACAAGTTTTAAGTGTCAAGGTTTTCTCTATGGCTGAAACTGTTCTATCATGAGAGCCCCATTTCTCTGACCCTCTCACCATGCTGACCCTGGATGCATTTTATAGACAATACAGCCAGCGTAGATGCTCTCCAACTTGTTAAACCAGTCCGTTCAAGCTCCCTTTAGGCCTATGCAGGTATAATCTAWATCAGTGCAAATGCTTCAGCACCATGTATTTTCAAGCCCTGCTTTTGTGAACCTGAACATTCAAGACAAATGAAATTACAGAAATATATACATTTAGTTGAGGGGAAATAGCTTTGTATTTTTAGAAATTGCAACTGCATTTTGTGCTGAATAGGTTCATTTTATATGCATACATATGTGTGTATCTTTAATTCTGTTTGTTTGAAGCAGAGACTGTAATCCTATTCAGCTGCATTAAGCCTTCCCCGGCTACTAGATGAATATTGTTGGTAGCTGTTTAAGAGCTTTATTTGGGGTATTTGTCATGATTTGTTCCCCTATCTTTCTTCTACTGTTTTCAATAGGAAACTGGTATAGGCAAAACAGTTAACAGTTTCAGGAAACATGCCACTGCTGGGAAGGTGGCTAAATCCCTGGTAAACCAATGGAAAAAACTTATTCCTCCAGAAAGTGAAAGGTAGGTGTGAGCTTACTTTATGTCCCTCCTTCACCCTCTCCTTAATTTTATTGTCTTATAGTTTTCCAAGTTGTGTTTTGTAAAGTGTTTGCAGTGGCAACTGTGTGTTACATTCATTTTATGCATTTGTTGTATGATGTGAATCTTTACCTTGAGTTGTTTTCCAGCACTTGGAGTATTCAGTATGGGTCAGTTACCAGTCAGCACTCAGACTTTACCTGCTTATAAAACCAGTGCCCTTAAGTTTTTTAGGGCTGTATTTTTGTTCTGGCAATGAGATGGTGGTTAAATGAGGCAGGTCTCTAGTGATTTACTTGTATATGGGTCTTGGGTAATATTTCTGTTGATTGTGGAGGGCTTTCCATATTGCACTGAACAGATGAGATTTCATCTCATAATGAAACAGCCACCACTGCTATCATCCTTCTTTGAGTCTCCTTCTCTGGAGGTCTTCCAGACCCACCTGGATGCCACCCTGTGCTCTGGGTGTCCCTGCTGGAGCAGGGGGTTGGACTGGGTGATCTCTAGAGGTCCCTTCCACCCTCAGCCTTTCTGTGATGCTGTGATCAGGCTGAATTTGCTCTAGATGTTTGCAGTGCTCTTGATGGCGAGGCAGTTGAGCTAAGGAGGGTGGGGATTAGATTAACCTCAGAAGTGCACAGTAAAGCCCAAGGTGCCCAAATAACAGGAAAGTACAATTCCAGGACCTGTGATAAGCAAAGTGTAGCGCCTGACACACAACCTGGATCACCTGCACAGCACTCTAACTTCCATGCCTTTTAGCCATTTCATGTATTATTTCAGTTATAAATTATGAAGGAAACCTTGTGTAAAAACAGTGGAGCAAGGCAGAGTTCAAGATTTTGAACAAATAATACTATGTTGGATATTTCTGCTTTTGATTTTTATTTCTCCCCGCCCCTTTTTAGCAGGGAGCATCCAAGTACAGTAAGAGCACAAGAGATAAAGATCCCTGCCACATTCGTTTAATGCTCTTAGTTTGACTAATGTAGCTGAAAAGACTGATTCTTCTTCAAGAAGTAACGCTCAGGTTTAACAAGGGGTCTCTTTTCTTGCTTTTTGTATTTAGTAGTCACAGAGGCAAAAAACAAAATACTGAAAAAGAAAAGCAGGAGACAAAATCTTCCATTTCCAAGGAGAATAAACCTTCAGAGAAGTCCAAAGCATCTGTACAGGCCTCCAAAAGCTCTCCTGTTTCTGAAAAGCTGAAGAAGGAGCATTCTTCTATGGAAAACAAGCACAGAAGTAGAGATTCTGAGTCTCACAAGGCATGTTATAGTAAAGAAGGTGGCAGCAGTGGGTCTAAGCATGCTGCCCGTGGTGCCAATGCTAAAGCTAAAAACAGTAGCTTTAAAGAAAGAACCTCCACAGACAGCAAAAAACTTTCAGAGAAACAAAATTCTGTTGTAGTAGCCAATAAAGACTTATCCCASCTGAAGGAAAGGACTAGTAAAGGTGCTTCCAAGCAGAAAAATCCTGAACCTGTGGAGAAACTGAACCCAAAACCTGCCACCAGAAACAAAGCTGAGTTATCCAGTGATGAGGAATTTGAGCCCCCTACTATGTCCTTTGAATCCTATCTCACTTATGATCAGGTTACAAGTAAAAGAAAGAGGAAGGCTTCCTCAGGTAAACAGCCAAAGAAGCCCAGCGAGCAGAAGAGTAACTCATTAGCACAAAGCACTTCAAAATATCCAGGTGCAAAAGCAGAAGGTGGACAGCGATCTGAGGATGATCCCTCGGAAATTCCCAATAAAAAGGTAGGCTGCTGCATAGTTGGGCTGATAGCAAATAAACTGCAGACAAATACGCTGGCTCTTCTTCTGTTTTCAATTAAATACAACTGTATTTGTTTCCAGCAACAGATGGTTCTGACATTCGTGCTGCATGGTGATTGCTAATAMTTACAGATAACTGGGGACAAAAATAATTACTGCAAACCAGCAGTATGTTGTATTTGTCATGTCTATTAAAATGATTTGGGATATGACAGATATTATGTACTGCTGTTCTGCAGGAATTGTTTTTGTCCCCAGTTATCTGTAATAAGCTGGTCAATATGAGCTAAACTGCTTTTTACTTATCAAGTGCTTAGGAATGGAATAGAAGTTTTCCATTATTTGACTAGTTTGGTTTGTGAATATAGCAGCCGTTTGGCTGTACAGTACCAGGATTTTCAGATATGGGATTTTGGCAGTCGGTGATAATGTCTGTCATGGAAGGGGGAAAAGAAACAGATTGGTTTTCTTTTAATGTGCTGAACTAAAGCACAGTGTTGCTTTATATATATAAAATATATATAATATATAWTATATGTAATAATATATATGTGTGTATGTATATACATTAAAAACATGCACAAGCTTTTTAAGTGAAGTATCCTAGAAGCTCAAGTGGCTTCTCTGAACTGAGACAGATCTAAGCACATTTAAATTTCAAWTAGAATTATCTTGAATATATTTTATCCTTACCATGGTGTGATAATTTCATGCTCTRTTTATTGTGGAACATGTAAAATAGGCCTGTCCCAAATTGAGAAATATTAACGTAGAGCTTAACTCAATTTTAGCATAAACTGAATAAATGATATCTTAGATGAGTAATCAGGATTTTTTTTCTAAGGACACAGAAATGAATTTCAGGGAGATACTGTCCAAAATGTACGTGTGCTTGCCTTAAATTGGGCATTGAGTGTCTTCCAGTTTATCTTGCACATAGTGCTGASCATCTGCAGTGACCTGTGCTTATCACACTCCCTAATCCTAAATTGTTTTTTTYGTAAGAGGAACAGTTGATAGTTCTGTGGAGTGTAACACAAAATAGAAGACCTGTGAGAAATGGGTATAAAGCTGTTTACCAACAACCTCCCCATCTTTTGTGGCATCTTGCCTGCCTTTCCTGCCTGTAAACATTTAACTGTTTTGTCGTCTTTCAATGTTGTCTTCTTCCCTGCATACCTGTAACCTCTGTGTAAAGCTGCAATGGTTTAGCTGGAAGCCTGTTAGCTGCTGAGCACATCTGTTCTTTAGTCCCCTCTTGGGACTAAAGGATTGTGGATTGTGGATGTCCCACAAAGTTCCCTTGTGATGTGGCTTTAAGTGGGGAATGAAAGGATGCACTGAAAAGTAATCCAGTGAGTAAATATTAGTGTAGAAAAGCAGTAATTCTGGTTATCCTAGGTAACTTTTTTGATTTGCTTATGTATTGTAGTATATTTTAAGCCTCAGTAAACTCAAATTTGGAATGTTCAAGTGAYGTTTCCTTCACTGTACAGGCCAAGGTGGCATCCCTCCAGGATCTTCTTAATACTCCACTGCCTAAGTTTCTGCCAGACATCTCAGTCTCTTCTCCCCCATATGCTCCTGAGTTTAAGGGTAAGTAGTATGCAAGACTAGTTAAATACTAAACACAGTGCTGTTTTTTTACAGCTTTATCCTCTTTCCCAAAATATATATAATCTCATTTTATCGTTACAAAGGAATAACTGTCCTTCACATGCTGCTCCCATGTAGATATTCTGAATCTCAAGGAAATTAAAAAGGCTGCTTCTTATCATCTGCTAAATCTGGAAATGCTTTGCAAGGTTACCAAAGGTGTAGGCAAGGTACCATTCTACAGGCTCCTTCCAGCTTTGCTTCTCTCTGTATCTTGTGGCAGAGGTAACACTAGCAGAAATTTGCTTAGGTAAAAGTTCTACAGGAAGCTTCAAGCCTAGCTTCAGCGTAGGGATGTTATTGGCATCCTTATATGTAGGTGCCCAAGTGATTCCACCTGCAGCTTTGGAGAGGTTGCAATGGTTTGACACCACTCCACTCTTGAGRGAATCACTGCAGTCCAACTGCAGGCTTCTCTAGGATAACTTGGTAACAGCAGTAACATGCTGGTAGCTAAGGGTCCAGTCTAGATGTTAGTCCCACTTGTGTAGCTCCGAATTAACTTGCATAAGGCTGGCTTGGTAGATAGTTTCTTTGTGCTTTAGGTACTGTCTTGCTGTTAGAAAATGATGAAGGAACTTCTGTAAATTATATGTAAAAGCCCAGAACTGATTCAGTAACCTCATATTCCACGGAAAGCTAATGTGCATGTGTCACACCAGCTGTGTTTCTCAAAGCTAAAAATATAAAGCATTTTAAAGTGTTCAGATATAAGAAGCCCTGTCTGATATTTTGCTTGTAACTTCTCTAGCACCTGTTGTAGGAACCCCCCAGCAAGTCAGTGAGGCCGTTCAATTCACGGGACGGAGACTGAACTCTAAAATGCAAGTTTACTCTGGCTCTAAAACAGTGTGTCTCTCAAAGATGCTCACGCTGTATGAACAGTGCATCCGCGTGCTTCAAAATAATATTGACTGTGAGTACTTTAATAAGGGCTTTGACAGGTTGTGCCTGAGTGGTCATGAATTTGTTTATTCCCCTGGATCCATAGAGATGGAGAAATAAATATCAGTATGGTGGGGCAATAGCAATTTAAGGAGGCTTTCTCCTTCATCAGATATCACTGCTAGTCAGCATGTAATTGCTGACTTAAAAGCCTTTTTTATCCCGTGACTTCAGAACACACGTTCTGCTGTGTGTTTGCTAAAATAAAACTGCCTTTCTATTATCCTTAAAGCGTTAGCTAAGTGGTTTTACCCACTGAATAAAGCAGGATGCTGAAATTGCTGTCCTTTGTAGCTCTGCATGAAGTAGGGGGTGTGCCCTTTGAAATCCTCGAGCCTGTGCTAACACGGTGCACACCAGAGCAGCTGTTTCGTATAGAGGAGAGTAATCCGGTAACTTGCCCATGTTGCACTGAGGGCAGCACCAAGCACCTTTTTGTTTTGTCTGCCTCCTTTGCACCTCTCCGTTGCACRTGGAGAACCACTTTGTTTTCAAATAAACTGTTCAGGCCGCAAAGCATGCAAATCAGGAGACAGTTTTGGGTGAGATGTCATGCATGTGGTRGATCTCCTCTCAACCACAGTGTTAGGGCGTCAGTTCTGCAGTGTCTTTCAGCACTGAGGCTCTGAGCATGTGATGCCCCTTTTGCTGGTCACCTTCTGGGAGCTGCTGTGACCTGGACCTATCCCAGAACCCAGTCTAGCCTGTTAAGGTGGCTCATGACCCTGGGTACTGAAGTCTCCTCTTTGTAACTACTCAGCTCCTAGGCTGCRGTCAGCACCTCTGCATGGCATCACTGTCGTCCTTGTGGGTGTATAGCTGGGAGCCAACATGTGCTGTAGTTCTTTTCTGCACCTGGGTGGGTGGGCTTTGTCTATGGGGCAAGTGCTTCTGAGACTATTACTTCTAAATCTTTGATTCTTTTTTTTAAATATCTTGTGTTCAAACAAAGACTTTCACAGAAGAGTCAGATCACTTATGGAAGAGACATTGTCAGAGAGATTTTAAGAATGAGAGCCTCCTGGAATATGAATCTTGGCGTGAGATGTACTTGAGGCTCTTCAACCAAAGAGAAGAAAAGCTGAAGATGCTTACGAAAAACATCCTCTCTGCTCAGTCTGAGAAACCCAAAGGTATAATCTGTGGGCGCCTCTTCAGTTTTCAAAACCCAGTCTTTTCTGCTATTTTTGGTGCTTACTATATGGGATTTAGTGCTTTGTTTCACTAGAAACAATGCTGTAAYTGTAGGAGGAATCATTGTGCGAGCATGTTGGGTTTTTTATTTAAATTTTCCACACAGAATAAAAGCATGCACTAACACAACGCATTAATGCACACAGCATACTGTAGACACATCTGAGCTCGTTGGTTTGGGATTCTGAGGATTCTGTATTGCACTCTTAAATTGTTGMTATAGTAAATACCCAGACTAGTTASTACAAGGTYTGTATACAAAATTGCCACTTTTCAGTTACTACTTTAGTAGTAGATTCTGTTTTTTTCTGAATGAAAACCATGCTGCTGTTCTGTGCTAGGCCGTCAAGTGAAGATGGCTTACATGAACAGTGCAGCAAAGCCACCCAGGAACGTTCGCCGGCAGCAAGAAATCCATGGGACAGCAGGATCCGTCACTCAGCTTCATCCCCTGGAGAAGCACAAGTAAGTGTTGGCTCTGGTGCTTTTAACTTAAGATTGTGTGACTCAGTGAGCACAAAAGCTTGCTGGCAGCTTGTTTGTGAGGTGAGTAGGGAGTAGCTCTCTCTACTGCTTTTTGTTTGTTTGTTTTTAGTGGTTAGAAAGACAAGAAACTAATTTGCCTTTTTGTCTTGCATGCTTTTCTGTATGTTGTAATCTTACTTCTCAATTGCTGGTGCTGAATTCATCCTTCCAGAGTGATTTCCAGGTCATGTTAATGCCATTCTAGAGGCACTTCAGCTTTCATGTTCTATATTTATAATGCTGASTAGTAGTCTTGCCTGCTCTCCTGATTTTATAAAATCTCCATGAGCTGTCCAGAGCTGGACTTTTAATGTATTTCATGATGAGTTTCTGTTTTGGCAGCTTGATGGAGAGTCTGGAATAGTCAGTAGCGATAGTCAACACTTAACCGTTGAAGAAAACCTGATTCCTCAAATGTTTCCCTCAAATACACAACAAGTATATGTTTCCCTTCTGACAGATTACGTCAGGATAGTTCAACAGTAAGGGGATCTAAAGCTGATTCTGAGATTTATCCTACAGTCCCCTACAGACATAACCAAATCTGTATCTGATGATGGCCTCCACAGTAAAGCATCAGCTTTTGCTCTCCCATCCTTCCCTTCCCCCTATGCAGTGAAGAGTACTGTTCATTACTGTTGGCATAGGTGCCCTCAGCAGAGAGGGAAAGGGGCAGTTTGGTTTAGCTTATGCTGTGGGTTGATGGGTCCACGTGCCAGCAGCTGGACCAGAAGAGTTGTGGGGAGCGTGTGACCTGCCTCCATATGGGCATTTTAAGCTGTGGTCACTCCTTCTGCCACATCTGCTGCTGAGCATGGTGCCCTGCCACCTTTACCCCATAGCCTGTGGTGGTTCTCATGTTGATATAACCACTCTGCAGCTTAGCTCAGCTGAAATGGTGCCTTCTGGAGAGAATGAACTAGGCTGGCTGAACCTTGAATTGATTTAGGGAATTGCAGGCTGGCAAATGTGTGAGCTGACAGCTGGGAATGAGGAAGATGAAACTTGTTATCCTAAAAATGATGCAAGAACGACTATGGCTGGAAATGTCACCAAAGTCACCTTAAGGAGCTTCTGTCTTCACCCTGCAGGGCCTGTAGCTGTGCTGAGTAATTGCTCATGTGCACCYTACTACAAACTAGATAAACTAGAACTGACCTGGCTTTACTGGGGGGAAGACAAAGCCTTGGAAAGTGTACTCAAGAAGAATCTGCCTATTTCAGGAACTTGACTTACAGTCTAACAGCCTTCCTTATTGGATGGGATGAGGGGGTTATAAGTGGGGTGGGTTAAGTGAGGGTAAGTTATAAGTGGGTTATAAGGGCGGGAATGAGAGCCTGCACATAAAAACTTCTTGAAATCAACTTTTACACCTTGGTTTGTATAGCAACACTGTTAGGTGATCAAGTTAGGAGGCTTCTTTCCAGGTTATTGCTATTACCAGTAAAAATATTTCACAAAGGCAATAGCTCAATATACTTMATGCTAGTCTTCTGCTCTCAGTTGTCTTTTGGGAGGGCATCTCTTTGCACCATCTGTCAGTTTTGCAGGTTGTAAATAGCTGAATTCATCTATCATGCTGGTTTCACAGGAGCAAAAAAAAAAAAGGCCTGGGACACGGGCAGATTCCTAGCTGCAGTGGGTAGTTGTATTTGCAGATCAGAACGCAGCTATGTGTGTTTATCCAGCATGTGTTAACTGAGTGCAAATGTTAGGGACTGATTCTGAGGTGCATGAGGCTGTCCTGGTCAGTAGGGTGATACTGAGACAGTTAATGCTATGTTCCTAATTATAAAAAACACAAACTCATTGTGCAAATTTGTCCTTGAGGGGTAAATGACTTAAAATAGCTATTAATTAGCTTCTGTATTTTCATGTGGGAAGGAAAGTGTGTGGGGGATGAATTGGATTCTTTGTATTGGCTTCTAYGGCTCATGTGGATTAATTTCAGTCTAAAAACATGTTCTGGAGAATATGAAAGTGGGTTTTGGTCAGTGGTGACAATATTGCCGTAAAAGAAAAGCTTCCCCTCTGCATTGTGGACTGACTCTTTTGGCAGATAGCTTCCTCAGCTGTCAATTCAGCTGTGTTCAAAAAGCAACATAAACATGCAAAGAAGAAACACGGGTCATGAGAGAATCCCTTATGAATCACAGTGGTATTGCCAAGCAATTTGTTGGCTTGTCACAAATTCTGATCATCTAGTTTAAGACATGAAACTCATCAAATTTAATAAAAGGAATATTGTGGAAAAAAAGGACTAACTGACCTTATGCTCTGATTCTAAATGTACCACTGATCACGAGACAGACATGATAGAAGTTTACTGTCCTCAGTGTATTCATAAAGTCTCAAACTTTTGTGATAAATAACTTGTTTTTTTTTATAATGAGCTAGAGCACAAATCATGGTTTGATACAGAGAGCTAACTTTCCCCCCTACTTTCATATCTTAAAAGAACAAGGATTCCAGAAATCAGAGACAGAAATAGCACTTCATCAAATCCCAGCTCTACTGCCAACACTGGAAACTCCAGCTCAAGYGGAGTGACTCAGGATGGGAAGAAGACTGTAAAAAGTAAATTAATTTCTTAATATTATCAAATGTAATAACTCACTGATTATTAAAGTATGTGTAATGCTTATGTTAATGTCATCATAAGTCACTCGGCTATAATCCTGAGTTGTTGTTGTTCTTGTTGTTGAAGGAATTGCGCCAATTATGAGGAAGACTTTGAAAGCATTGAAGAGTAGAGCTGGGCGACGGTAAAACGAGGTTATGTATTTGAAGCTTATGTAAATACTYGTATCATGTTACAACTCAAGAAATTTAACTAGTTAATACAAATCTCTTTCAATTTGTCTGGGTTAAAAATAGTTATCAATTCAGGAGCAAGCAGTTTGCAATAAAAATCACTTCTCTTCCCCTGACTCCTTTCATATTTCTGCTTTCTTCTGATTCRCAAATGAACAAAACTGAATTGAAATGTGGTCAGTACAGACTAGTGGCAAATGATTTGGTGTAGGCTTGTACAGATGCTGTCTTCCTYGGTTCATGTTCCTATTGCGTAAGTTTCTGATGGAAGCACTTAAGCTTTAGTGCAATAACTAAATAACAGTGACTAAAAACAGCCCTGTCATTGTGTGGTACCAGCTAAAGGCACCAAGTTCATTGTGTCAGAGATGCAATGTTTTGGGGATAACCAGAACCCAAGAATGTCATCACCATGATTTTATGATCATCTTGAAGGCATCATACAGACCTCAGAATAATCCCTTTAAAGCTGGAAACAGCTTTAAAGCTGGTGCTGTACTGTGGTTTGTTGCTTGGAGTCTGCTGTGAAAAGGCCCAGCTCAAAACTTAAGAATGGACTCTTCGTATTTAAAGTAAAAACCTATCAAGTCTGGAATAGCTGTCCTTTTCAAGAGGTGGTGGCTGCTGCAATTTGAGATTAGTCCGAGTGGGCCTTCTTTTAGAAATAAGAACTTCTCTAGTTGCTTCATCAAAAATGGTTTCCTTGCTTCTGCTTCAAGGTGTGACTTCTGCAGAGAGGTACTTCTTCTATATGCTGCCCTTGAGTAGATTTTTTTTCTACTTCTGTAGGACTCTGAAATTCTCCTGAAGCACAGGTGTGATCATCATGAYGTCAGCAGGTGGTTTCTCTTAAGAGATCCATGAATCTCTTCTATGTCCTGTGGAYTTAAAAGTGAACTCAAATAGTACTGCTACAGAATCTGGCTCTTAGCAGCCAGACTTAGTCATTTGTACATAACAGCTTGTGCAAACACTCAGTGTTTGAGGAATTTATRAGGAATTTGGGAAGTTATCAGGTATGCTACTGTGTTTTGGTTTATTTGGGGAAGGGGAGCAGGGGGACAGATTTCCTTGTGGATTATGGTCATCTTAAAAAGAGAGATGAGAACAGGCATGATGATGTAGAAATTTCAGATGGAGCTTTTTCTGTCTGTGATCCAAACTTGGCACTGGCTAGTAAGGATGGTGTAGTATCTGTCATTTAGGTCTGCAAATGAGCTAGAGAAAGCAGCTGTTCTAGCACTCGAGCTGCTGTGGTGTGTGCTCTTGGAGACTGAAAGGTAAATGAAGGACTGAGGAAGCTAAGAGATATAATCTGCAAATAATAGTTGCATCCTGTGCATCAGAGTCGGAGAGATCTCTGAGTATCTGCCACTGGAGACCTCTGGYAACTATGAAGAAATGTCTTGCCTGGCCTTTCCTCTGACCATGTACACTGCTTCTGGGATGGGCCTTTCCTAATCTGCTCAAATTGCTGGCCCTGGATGGTGAGTTGGTTTCACAGCCTTCAAAAAAGGCAACATAGCACCCAATATAGCATGGAATAAAGCAGTATTGGACAGGTAGCCTCTTATTGCAAGGAAGGGCAGCAGTCATCTATAGCTACAATACTGGGCCAACTAGAGAGCTAGATGTTTTCCAAAGCTACCAGTAAATGAGCATCTAGCTATTTTATTAAATAGTGTGATAATGTGAGGTATCTTTTTGCCTTGTTGGCTTTTGATGACAAATGGCAAAARAGAAAACTTCTTTCAAGAAAAGATGAAGCACAAGCCAGGGCTGCACACAAAGCCTTCTCAGGTCAGATGAGGATGAACAAGGAGTGGATTTTTCTCAGCTGAAGTAACAAAGGGACCAATTCTGCAATTCAGTTTCTTCAGTTCTAGCAAACAAAACTAAGCTTGAGCAACAGGAAAAGAAGTGTCTTAAAGACATAGTTATGGAAGGTTATCATYCCTATTGGGGTGACTTTATTTTTCTTACAAATGCCTTAGTTTTTAGCATTTAAAGATAATATTCCATTTCTGTTGAAATAGTGTTGAAAACTTTCTAAAACATTTACCTTTATGTGTAATAATCTTTGGAAGTGTCATTTCTGTGCATATTTTAGACAGGGAATTGTGTTTTTTATCACATAACTTGTGGAGATTGGAGATGCAAAKTAACAAAGCATGAAGAACAGGTATTTCCAAGTGATCAAACAAATGCATCAACCTCAGAAGATTTCTGAAGAGACAAGTTCTGCAGATGGTCGTGCAAAGATCAAGAAAGATTGGCAGAGACCCTTCTCTGAAAGGAAGCATCCTAGAATCCAGGGACTAACGGTCTTGCACATTCAGCTCTCTTGTGTGGTCCTAGACAAAAACAGTATTAAAATAGACATGCTTGTCAGGACTGTAGAATAAAATACATTGAAACTGTCACTTTTTCAAAAATTGAACACTGAGTATTCAGGAAATTATGAAGTATTTTAAGGCACAGAAATCTAGTGTCTCTTAAAAAGAAAACTATTCAGAGCAAGWTGGGGGGGAGGAAATTGACTCCCCTTTTCCTACCCTGCAAAACTAGGGATACCAATGTCATCTTYGGAAATAAAGCCCCAAACAACACAGTGGGATGTACAAGTGTTTAGCAGAGTGTTTTGTATACTCTGGTTACAGATACGTATCCTCATATCCCTGAGGACAGACCTATAAATGGCCCTTGCTTGAGGAGAGAGCTTGAAGATCTATAGAAAAATCTTACATAGTTGTTGTCCTGCGGAGCTGCAAGTGGCTACCCAAGTGGCAGGGAAAACTCTCTTGCCRCTTCTCCAGTTCTTATCTTTGGCTTTTTTTCTACAAGATTGGTGAGTCTACAGAAGAAGAGAGATTGTTTGGCAGAGCCTGTAAAAGCAGGAAAGAAAGCTCGCTGGGCAGGGACAAAAAAATGAGCTTCCTTTTGTTCCTGTTAGAAGGAAGGAGCYTGACATGCAAAAGGGGGGAAAGCTCCCGAACTGCTGAGGTTTTGAAGTTGCTCAGACCTGACTGGAAAGCAGGATTCCTTGGGTTTTTTTTTTCAGTGCTGGTCTCTCAAAAGGAGGAAAAAGTTAAGTCGTTGTCCTCCTGCCACTTTGTTCTGTAAATCTCAGATGACTCTCTTGCCAGGCATGGCACTTCCTCTATTTAGTGCTCTCCATAACACCCACTGAGTGCTCAGCTTTTTTCTCCCACAGATGTGCTCCGGCCAGCTCTCCACAAGGTACTTTTCTTCTAGTTACTTATGTTGGTGTGATTTTAGTGCTTTCAGACCTTTCTGTCTGAGAGTGAGATAATTAGTCTGTCTGATCTATAGATAAACACTAAAGTGTCACATTCAAGTGTGACTTTTTAGAGCATTAGTATCATGCTAGAGTGGTGCTKACAGCTGAGTTATGGGCTTAGACGTTCAGAAAATCAAGGAGGGAATTAAATGGTGTTTAGAAGTCCCAATGGGTTTGTGCAGAAAGAAGTTTCTCCAGGTTTCCAGGAAGTCTTGAGACTGCTCAAGGGTAAACCTAGCTTAAGTAAATAACCTATTTCTCCAGCTGAGAAGCAAACAACAAAGGCTCTGACCATAAGTGCAGAATGTCTGCCTTATTTAGGAAGGAGAATGATACTTGGTATAGATCTGTAAGAGCAAAATGAATTTATCAGTGACCTTACAAAAAGGAATTAACAGGSCTGTGCCCCAAGATTCTCCTGTTATCTGCATGCTGATCGTGGGCCAGTCATTAAGCTGGTATCTTTTCAAATCCCTTCCTTTAATAAGGGGCATTATATGTCACTGACAAGTGAACTTTATAATCATAGCACAACTGATTAAGTGCTCTAAGAAAGGAAGGGCTATGTGAGGAAATAGTACCACACTTCTCCATCTACTCCTCTCTTTGGGCCCGATGAACTAGACCAATACATGCTTTCCAAAATCTCTTTTTCTCCACTGTCTACTTAGAATTCAAATACTTTTATAATAAGCGGAAACTGGAAATGTCAAGACATCTGCAGAACCTTGAGGAAAGCAAGAGTTTCCTCATGAAACCCTATTTTGGGTATACTATGGAGTTATTTAATCATTTAATGTTAATAAAACTTTCCCCCGTTAAGATGATAGCATGTCCTGGTTCTTTATTATCTGTACTGTGAGCTTTGAGTAGAACTCATGCATAATGCATTAGGCATGTCTCAGCTGTTTGAGTAAGACAGCTATATTTTCCATTTAAATTGATATTAAATGTTGAAAAACATGGTATAATTTTCTCAAAATTATGGCACTTACAGCACAGAAAAGATATTCTGATGATTTAGGAGAAAGTCAGCTCTGTGTCACACCAGATTTTTTGTGTTGCTCTGACTAATTCAGGGTTTGAAGTACTTTGTTCTTAGCAAGTAAAACTCACTGGGATGCTTAACCACTCTTTCTACCAACCTTCCTCCTTGCTCCAGAAGAGGGAGTTTCATCCTTTATCCAAATGATATGTTGAATAACACCACAACATGCCTTTCTTATGGAAATAAATTAGCTTAATTSTCAAAGGGCAGTACTTCCCTGCTGAGCTACTTTTTCCATAGGAGAGAAGACTGGTCCTTTGCTTGACCTTCCTTGTGGTTGCCTCGCATTTGTCACTCACAGTCCCAGACTGCTGCCACATTGAAGCTTCTTGTGCATGACTGTAGGGGTGAAGGTGAAGCTCTTAATGAATGGGAGACAACATGCTAACTGCCTTTTCCTTCCCTGCAGCAGAGTTCCTCAGTCTCACAAAAAACAACAACAACGAAAAAACAAGGTTAAAGGCAACTTGGCTTTAATAAAGTTGTTATACTGTGGTTGTCAGGCAATAGAAGTTGGTGAGGATTAAGACGGCAAAGAGATAGCTGTTACACCCATCTGAGTGCAGTCCTGGGGATGGTGAGTAGTCGAGCTGATTCCAAGCATCCTACCTCACATGCTTCTTTAAACACATCTTCTAAGWGCCCTTCCTGTCTCCAGTCACGCTTCCTTCCTGATGGCTGCCCTATGTC